TATAGGAGATGTGATGCAACAGCTGAGCAAAACCCTGGGTATAAAATGGGACTTACACACACCTTGGTGACCACAGTCTAGTGGGAAAGTGGAAAGGATGAATCAGACTTTGAAATGACAAATTAGTAAAATGGGCCAAAACCCCTCTTAAATGGCCACGGGCCCTTCCTCTGGCTCTTTTGTGAGTCAGAATTCAGCTGAGGTCAAAACCCAAAGTAAGTCCCTATGAATTGCTGTACAGATGGTACAGATGGCCGTATCAAACACTATCAATTCCAGGAGAAATTAATTTAAAGGGAGAAATGTATTTAAATCTATACTTGATTTCTTTAGGAAAAACTTGCTGGACTCTCGATTAATAACTCTGTTTGGATCAGTTGCTTTGGGTGCATTTGTTCATCTGTATCAACCTCGCGATTTTCTGTATGTAAAGACCTGGATCTCTGAGCCCTTGAAGAAAAAGTGGAAAGGACCTTTCCAAGTCCTCCTCCTAACCTACACTGCACTCAAGGTGTAAGGAATCAAACCCTGGGTTCATCTCACGCAGGTAAAACCAGGAACCACACATTAAACACAGCAGAAACAAGACTAACTAACACTGTGGAGTTTTTTAATATATATAAATTCTCTTGGTATAAGTATAGGATGTGATTTTCTAAGCGGATATTATTCATTGGATCTAGATGAAAATGATAAATAATCGCACATTTATAATAATAATAGAAACTATGTTGTTAATGTCTGGGAAGGTGTTGAAGGTTAGTTGTTTTCCTTTTTTTTTTTTTCTTCCTCTCAGGGAATTTTTCTCCCATTTGTAGCCTAAGAGATGAAGAATGACGGTACTTAAAAGACAAATGATGTGGCCAGGATGGGGAGGAGGGGGGAAGGGATGCAGTTGCTGCAGTCCCTTGTGAGCTGGGGAGTTTCTCTTGGGAAGTGCAGAGATACCGCGGGGGGTGGGGGGGAGGGGTGTGTGCTAACCAAGACTTGGCTGGGGATTAGGGGCTGGGCTCAGCCCTCTCTCTCTCGGGGATCAGAGGGGAGGTGGTTGTTTTGGTGTTGGACTGCTGCGCCAGGGAGAATTTGCTGCAACTGCGGAGTTTTGTCCTTCACTGCTTCTTACCGTTGGTGAGGCTCTGCTTGCAAGAGCGGCCATTGAACTGGGACCTTTCAACACCCGACGTCCCTGGGAGGGACCCTCATCCCTGAGCTTGGGTGGCTCAGGGGAAACCTGGGACACCCCCCCTCCTCCAGAGGAAGCATCTCCTGGCTGCTTCTGGGAGCCTGGTTGCTGCTACCTTCACCAGGACATCACATAGGACAAGTGAGAGCCAGTGTTATAGATGAGTAATGTAATAGTTGGCTCTCACAATTAAAAGATAAATATTATGTAGATGTATAGTAATGTTATTTAATATGTCTCCCCATAGACCCCTTTTCCCTCCCCCTTGTAATAGCCTTAGTAGTCAGGGCATTTAGAGAAGGCTGGCTTGTTACCAGGAGGCGCAGCGTAACAACACCTGACCTCCAATCAAGATGTAAGAAAGTAATCTCCACCAATAAATGGCAGAGAAAGAGTTGATGGAAAACATGAAAGTTTGACAAGAAAGTTTCACAGATATGTATGCTTGGCAGAAAGCTCTCTGAATGTAGAACTGGAGAACAGAATAGAGGTGGAAGCAAGTTTTGATATAGAAGAAAAATAGATGTCTAAATTGAGAATTGCTGAGCTGGTCGTTACTGGACAACTAATAAAGCAAAGGTGCTCCAGATTGCAAGGCAAAATGTATTTTATTCCCATCTGTATGGCAGTTGTCTTTTGTCAAATGGGCAGTTTTCCTCATCTCTCTCTGAGTGATCACAATCACTCCTACCTCGGGAGGGGACATCTGCTGATAATAGGCTATTGAATGTCACTGCATGACTGATAAGAACTATAGCATCCCATTGCGAGATGCTCCGCCCAGAGGGAGGAGCAAAGCATTGCTACCCAGATATAATCCGGAGATTCTGGAATAAGTGCAGGGCTTCTCCACTGGATTTCCCAGAGGAACAGCAGCTGTGTCTTCTTCCACTGGATCTTCAGAGGAAGACTACACCCTTTTCTACAAGATCCTTGCTCCAACAGAACCACATCTGACACTCCAGGAGGACTGCAGCCACATTTCCAATTGGACTGCTACCAACACCCTGACCAACAGGGCGTCAGGTTGGGTTCTGACTCTGTCAGTGTTGTTCTAGTGTACTGCATTGTTTATTTTATCCTTTTATTTTCTTCCCTATTAAAGAACTGTTATTTCCCGCCCCCATCTTTTTTGCCTGAGAGCCCCTTAATTTAAAATTTATAGCAATTCGGAGGGGTGGGGAGAGTTTACATTCTCTATTTCAGAGGAGGCTCCTGCCTTCCTTAGCAGACTCCTGTCTTTCCAAACCAAGACAAAAGGTTGAGTTGGAAGGGGGTTTTATGACTAGAGCAAAGGATATGTTGACCACAAACAAAAAGATGTTTTTACCAAGCAAAAATATTTCTTAGGAAAAGCAGAAAGATACCATAGGCAAGCAAACATGCCAATGTGGCAAGTAGAAAAATGGTCTAAGAATTTTCCATTGCAAGAAAAAAGAAAAACAACTTTAAGCTTAAACTGTAACATACTAACTCATGTGATTGGATGGTAATTACCATAATATGGTAATGATTGTAGTTATGATAGACTATAGGTAATAGTAAAGGTATTGTATATGATGCTGATTGGTTGTTATGTGATAAGATGCTCAGCAAAGAAAAATATATAATGCATTGTAACCAAAACTAAAGCGTCTTCTGGCTTGCCCATAAGCTGTAGCTGGCAGCTGTAGGCGTGGCTCTGTTACCCACGACCTGAGACTGCTGTAACATCTTCTATACAATAAATAGCATTTTGAAGAGCCACCTGGAGTCCCACATCTCTCATCTCAGGCTCTTACATTGACTGACAAAACTTTAGGAGGGGCTAATGAGATAAAAGGCAGGGCCTCCATTTTGTAGATGAGCACGTGGCTGATAGTCACGGGGGCTCTCAGCACTGTAATTTTTCCTTATTTAGTCCTTTTGTTGTATTTTTTTGTTAAAGTTTAATAAACCTTTGAAATTTTAAAAGTGAGCAATCGTTTCTCACAAATGGGGGCTCATTCCAGATAAAAACCTCATCTCTGTGGCTGTAGATTTTGAAAGAGAGGCATGCCCTGCTGCAAGTTTGGCAGCTCTGTCGAGTTCTCCTGTGACTATTGGTGATTGCAGGTACACACCCCAGGGACAGCAAAGGACTAAATAACAAAAGAGAGGGAAGAAAACTGCAGATCTAGAGGACTGTGAGTACTTGTGTGCGAGAGTCTGAGAGTATGCTTGAAGTGTGTGGGGTAGTTCTGGGAGTGTGCTGGGGGTAGATATGAAACTTAGAAGATCGTCATAACAATTTTTGGCCAGATTGTAATTCCATAATCCCGGTGTATAAAAGTCAGCTTCAGACAATACACGGGACCCATCTTGGTCTGTTGAAGCGTTGGGATATTGGACGGTTGGAAGAAAAAACGGTGGGACGCGTGGAAGAGGAAAGCAGGGACCCTGTGGCTGGCGGGATGGGTGTGATAGAGGGATATTAGACTTAAGGAGACTCAAGAGTGTGAAAAATGCTAATCACTTGTTTTTAAAATTTTAAAAAGTTTAATGATAATAAAATGGTTATAAAAATAGCAATATAATTAAAGTAATAATAATTTGGACAATTTGGATTAGGACAATATGAGACAATAGAAACCAAGAGTTACGGACCTCTGGGTACCTTTTTCTCAGCAAAATAAGCCCAAAAAAGGACACACATTAACAAAGAATTAACCCTTAAAAACAATAGCCTGTTGCATATTTATACATCTCATACATGATGCATAAATTCCATTAAAACATAGGATTCTGTCTGGTCATCATCAACTTCTTCCTCTTAATCCTGACCGGCATCATCATAGCTGAGCGAGGCGGGAAGAAGTTTGTTTCTCCGGATAATGGGGCAATAAATTCTCTTTCTCTGAAAGATTTAGGTGTCCTGTGGCTGCTATCTCGGTGCGAGTCCTTTCTTAGAGAACAAAAGAAGTATCCTACATAGCATAGTTTCTATTTTAACCTTATGTTATAACCTAAAACTATATTTAGCACGCTACTTAAGAAAATTAATACAGCATAACTTTCTAACACAACACATATAATATTCATTTTAATATTTGCGAAAAGCCAATCATAAAATACGCATTTTTCACAAGAGCATCTGGAAACGTCAGGTTGAGGGTCGTCAGGTTTAGAGGGTTTTGAAGTGACGGAGAAAGTCGCCGTTCAGTGGAGACCACGCTCGTGTCAGTGCGAGGAGTCGCGGCAGCTTTCCCAGCCTTCCAGCGTTGAGGGGGGGGAGCGTGACTGCTCCATGTGGAGCAGCGGCACGCTCAATGCTCAGAACGGTGAGCTTCTGGTGCGCAGTCAGCGCGATAGCTTCCAGAGCTTACCAGCTGAGGCTTGAGAGGGGGTGTTGCCACTGGTAGCGGCGACTAAAAAACTGAGCGCAGGGGCGTCCTGTGCTGGCCCAGTGATGCGAGGTTTCCCGGGCAGGGGGAAAAGGAGGCAGGAGACCCGTAGCTGGCGAGAAACTGCTCATGCGCGCGTCTGCCCACAGTGACTCAGGGACGCCGAGCAGTCGAGACCAGCGGGCTGACCGAGTGGTAGGGTACCCAGTGGCGAGGGGCCGGCACCAGAGGGACCGCCACTTGGAGAAAACCAAGTGTGCGGGGTTTTCTGAGCGAGGACCACGGGGGAGGAGGCGGGCGGGGTTTTCCGACCCGCCGGCACAAAGGAAGCCGGGTGTGGGGCTATGTAGAGTGGCGCTCGCGGCCGCGCTTGGCGTAGTAAGTTTCCAGTGCGTGCTGACCCAATGAGGGTAGGGGGAGGCAGCGGAGGCCCGGTGCGCTGACCTAGATTACACATGGCGTCGCTGGAGGTTAGGGACCAGCCAGGCAGTGCGGGTGTCCCCGGACCGGGGTGTGGAGCTGCAGCGGCATCCCTATGGAACCCACCAGCGTAGAGCCATGAGACCGGGGCGCCACGCGAGGGGCGGCGTCCGGAGGGTCACGGGCAGTGGCGGGGGGGGGGGGGGGGGGGGGGCTGCCGGCGGCGAGTAGGGCGGCTCTCGCCGAGTCCAGGGGCACCCGGCGGGGCGGGCCTAGTTGCACGGGGTTTCTAGGCCAAGGGACCACGCGGGTCTACATTAGCGGTAGTGGGCCTGGGGCGCCTAGTGCGGTGACTTTCAGCGGTGCCGACCCGACTGAAGGTAACCGCGGCAGTCAAAAGCCCTGCATCCCAGAACCGCTGGTCTGCCGGTGCGGGGCTGCTGGCGGCGGGGGCCGCGCTTGTGGACCGGGAGGGGGGTTTGGACAGTGGGAGCCACGGATGACAGGGGCCACGGGCAGCAAGGGGCTGCCGCTGGGTGCGACTCAGGGCGTGCGGGGCGTGGTTTGCTCTCGCCACTGCCGGGGGGGTAAAGAGCTGTGAAAAATGCGTATTATATGATTGGCTCTTCGTAAATATTAAAAGGAATATTATATGTGTTATGTCAGAAAGTTATGCTGTATTAATTTTCTTAAGTAGTGTGTTAAATATAGTTTTAGGTTATGTGAAAAATGCCAGTCACTTGTTTTTAAAATTTTAAAAGTTTAATAGTAATAAAATGGTTATAAAATTAGTAATACAATTAGAGTAATAATAATTTGGACAATTTGAATTAGGACAATATGAGACAATAGAAACAGAGTTACGGACGTCCGGATACCTTTTTCTGGGCAGCACAAGCCCGAAAAAGGACACCCGTTAACAAAGGATTAACCCTTAAAAACAATAGCCTGTTGCATATTCATACACCTCATACACGATGCATAAATTCCATTCAAACACAGGATTCTGTCTGGTCATCATCAACTTCTTCCTCTTAATCCTAACAGCGCCTTCTAGGCGGGAAGAAGTTAGTTTCTTCTGATAAGAGGGCAATAAATTCTTTTTCTCTGAAAGATTTTAGGTGTCCTGTGGCTGCTATCTCGCTGCAAGTCCTTTCTTTAAAAAAAAAATTATCCTACATAGCATCGTTTCTATTTTAACATTTCTTGTAACCTAAAACTATATTTAACACACTACTTAAGAGAATTAATACAGCATTACTTTCTAACACAACACATATAGTACTCATTTTAATATTTGCGAAAAGCCAATCCTAAAATACGCATTTTTCACAGGTTATAACATAATGTTAAAATAGAAACTATGCTGTGTAAGATACTTTTTTTTAAAGAAAGGACTCACACCAAGATAACAGCCACAGGACACCTAAATCTTTCAAAGAAAGAATTTAGTGCGCTTTTATCGAGTTCTTCCCACCTCACTCAGTTCTGAAGACGCTGTCGGGATTAAGAGAAAGAACTTGACACTGACCAGACAGAATCCTGTATTTGAATGGGATTTATGAATCGTGTATGAGGTGTATGAATATGCAACAGGCTATTGTTTTTAAGGGTTAATCCTCTGTTAACTGGTGTCCTTTTTCGGGCTTGTGCTGCCCAGAAAGAGGTACCTGGACTGTCCATAACTCTTTGTTTTTATTGTCTCGTATTGTCCTAATTCAAATTGTCCAAATTTTTATTACTCTAATTATATTGCTATTTTTATAACCATTTTATTACTATTAAACTTTGTAAATGCTAAAAACAAGTGATTGGCATTTTTCACAGAGCTGTCTGTTGTGCAGAGGTCTTGTGGGCCCGCATGAGTGGCTTTCAGCAGTTGCTGTGCACTAGTAAACCGGGAGGCAGCAGAGAACCAGAACATGGCAGCGAGCAGGAGAGCCTACCCAGTAGTACAAAAGTCCCTGAATTGCAAGCGGGTTGGTTTTTTTTTGGTTTTGCTTTTCGGGAAGAAATAAAGGGCTTTTTTCCTTTCCTTTCTTCCTCTTTCTTCACTTGTTTGCTTTCTTTCTCCTTCTAGCTAATTAGGAAAGCGAGCCTTACTGAAAGGACCTGTAGTTTGCTAATTAAAAGTCCCCAAAAGGAGAAAGAGGATCCTCTCCCCTCTTCTCTTGTCCTCTGGGCTGCTAAACCTCTAGGATTTTCTTTTTCCTTAATCTTTAGGCTTTCATCTGGTAGTTGCCAAACACATTAAGAAAGAGTGTACGAGCCTAAATGAGAGATGCGGGACTCCAGGCGGCTCTCCAAAATGCAGTTTATTCCATCCAAGACATTACAGCAGTCCAGGGTCATGGGTGACAGAGCCTGTGCCTACAGCTGTCAGCTCCAGCTGCAGGCAGGCCTGGAGACCCTTTGGTTTTGGTTACAATGCATTATATACTTTTCTTTGCTGAGCATCTTAATACACTAGAACCAATCTATACCTAAACATTTATCTATAGCCTATCATAACTACTATAATTACCACATTCAGGTTACTATTCTCTAATCACTAAAAGTTAGTACATTACAGTTTAAGCTAGAAGTTGTTATTCAGTTTTTTTGCAGTGGAAAGTTCTGAGACCTTTTTTCTACTTGAAACTTTGCTGACTTGTTTGCCTGTGCTATCTTTCTGCTTGGTAAAAACATCTTCTTTTTTGAGGTGGGTTTATCCTTTGCTCTAAGTCATAAAACACCCTTCTAACTAACATACCGTTTGCCTCCTTGGTTATCCAGTAAGACTGGCTCAGCAATTCTTTTCTTCTAAATCAAAACTTGCTTCCATCTCTATTCCTTCATCAGACTTTACATTTAAAAATCTTTCTGCTAAGCATACATATCTGTGAGACTTTCTTGTCAAAACTTTCATCCTTCCCAACAAAAGAGTGCACTGACAGGTGAGTTTTAGAAACTAGAGTGTGCCTGTCGTTTCCTGCCATAGTTTAAACCCCTGTTGCCTTTCAGGCACTGACCACCTTATGGTTGGGGCTGCTGGGGAGCACTACACAAGCTCTTTAAGTTAGATAAGCATTGAGAGAGTATAAAACGGTAGTTTTCTCTTTGTGCCTGCCTTCCCATTATTCCAAACTGGTGCAGCCCTATTTCTGTGGGGCAGGGGGAGTGTGAAATGCCCAAAACCAGACTGCCTGCCCTGCTTTACTCCCTGTGTCCAGCTCTGTGCCCATGTCTGGTGATTTCCTCTCTTGATCAGCTCCTAAGAGTTTTTCTTCAGCTGAGGGCTGTGTCCTGAAAGCTTCACTCTGCTTTTCCTTCCAGGCTCTCCTCCCACAGCCAGGAACCAACACTCTAAGAGTAGCAGAGCTTCAGGGGGTCATGGCATGAAACTGTGAGATGGACACAATTTCAGATCTTATCTGCATCTAGGACATGTCATGCCAGGCATTTGCTGTGTAGTCTCCTGCTGCCTCCTGCTCCAGTGGCTGCAGGCAAGTCTTACCTTGTGTGTAATTAATTAGTCAGCACTTGTGGCAGAGTGAGAAGGAAAGTCAAGGAGCTGCCAGCACGTGGATGTACTTCCTCCTTCTGGCAGAAATGCTCAAGGAAGAGGAGAAAGAAATGGGAGATTTTCCTGGTTTGTGTCTCACTGCAGATTTGCAGAGTCCTAGTGCAGTGACATTTTCCCTTTGTTTGTAGCTTCCCCTGTTTTAGAGTTGAGGGTGTAGCTGGCTCCTGGCAGACCCTTTTTGTAGTTTGTAGCCCCCTCTCCCCTGTGGTTTGATGCCTTCTTCATCACTCATCTGTTGTGTTCTTTTCCTTCCCTGAAGCTTTTCCTGCTTCCCTACCACATTGCCAAGTGTTGGAAAGAGCAAGAACAGCCTCCAACAAAACCCTGTACCACTAATGAACACTGGCAAAGTACTACCTCTCTTTCAGGTTAAGAGAAGACCTCAAGTGTCAAAGGCTTAGATGCATGACACAGATACCTTTCCCTCCTTAAGTCAGAGATGACAGGCCTGTCTGTTCCAACCCCAAAGGCACAAGAGGTGCTCTTTAAACTGTACCACAACGTCCCACCCACACTCCCCTCTACTATCCCCATCCTCACCATGACATGAGAGACCCACAGGGGTATCAGGGCCAGGAGAGCTCTGAAAGAGTGCTGTACATGTGTGAACCAGTGCACACAGCTCTGTGCTTGTGAGTATGCACAAGTTCTGCAAGTGTGAACATAGTTCTGTGTGAGACGTATATATATTACTATGTATAGCACTGCACACGTTGGTGTGCTCAAACTCTATGTACAAGCAAGTCTTGTGCTTGTAGGCACGTGTGCATCAGTAGAGACTACATAAGTGAGTGTCTGTATAACACGTGTGCTGATGTAGCAAGTTGAGTGTACACAAGTGTGTGCTGCTAACAAGTACCATAGTACACAAGAGCTCTGTACAGGTGAGCAGGTACATGTGTGTATGTGCACTAGCTCTGCACATTTTCCTGTGTACACACATGGGTTGGGCCCACCCAGAGACATAGCTCTAGATACATGGCTCTGTCCATCCAACTGTTGGCCCACCTAGAAAAACAGATGTGTGTGTATATATGTATGTGTGTGTGTCACTACCTAGCTCTTTGTATACACCCTGTTCTTATAAGGAAAATAATTTGCCTTTATGTATAAGTTTGCCAAAAGTTTATGTAAAGTTGTATACAGTGATTTCCATCAAATTTAATAATGTTTAAGTTTCCATTAAATGTCTATAAACAAGAGTATCTACAATCGCTGTGACCCACTGCTATTCTAACCCACGTTCCCTAGAAACTACAACCATCAAAACAAGATGCTAAGCTGTTGTGTTGTGTTGGTATGTTCTGTTCCCCCATGTTTTTTAATGGTTCTGCCCTGGTTCTCCCTCCCCTCCCTGTACTTGTCAGTTACTCTGGTTCCTCCCTGGTCTCCCTGGAGATCGGTGTATCTTTTTCTAAACCCCTCCCCGGTGCCCTGCCACGGGCTCCTCCCCTGTATCCCTCTCCCTTTATAAGTTGCTTTAGCTCCTCCCTCGCCCTCTTCTGTTGCTGGCTTCCCTGGGAGCTACAATAAACCTGGACTTGCCCCAACCGGAGAGCGCTCTCTTATTTCCTGCCAGTTGTCGCCAGAGGCGGCCTCATCCTCCTGCAAGGAAGCATCACTGCTAGAACGCAGGGTGCTCTCCTTAGGCGCAGTCCCAGAAACCAAGAGTGGGACAGTGCCCCCCAAGCTGCAAGCGGTGCTGGCCAGCTTGCTGGGACACTCGAGAAGGCTGTCCCTTCTTCTCTCTCACCGTGCTGCTTCAGTTCCTGGTGCCCAACGTAGGGCCTGAGGCCATCGCCAGACCCCGCGGATGAGACTTTTAGTCTCCTTGGCCGCCAGACTACCCCTGTGGGAGCAGACCCCTTTCTGGAGGGTGGCGCTCCGGGGGACCGGGAACAGCAGCTCCTTTCACCCGAGGATTCGTTCCTATGGCAGGAACCACCGCTTCCGGATTTTCTTTGGTCCCCACCGGGTTTGTAAGTATCTCTCTGTTTCGCCCTGCCTTTTTAACCCTTTTTGTCCCCCTTGCATCGTGTGTGGTGCTAAGGGCTTTCTCCTCATGGCTGCGCAGCCCTCTCTTTCTGACAGGGGCCGGTGGGGGGCTCTTTCTTATTTTCTTTAAGTGTTTTTCCGCAACGGTGGGTGGGTTGAGTCGCCCCGTTTAAAATCTTAACCATGGGTGCACGATTTTTGGCGACTCAAAAGAGAGCCTATCACCAAGTTGTGAGTATCTTTGCGGGGGGGTGTGTTGAAGTTCGCAAAAAAAAGTTAAGGCGTTTGGTTAGGTGGCTGTTTTCCCCAATTTCCTGATATTACCCCTGATGAAATTTACAACCCAGGTTTCTGGGACATTGTCCATAAAAATTTGCAGGATTCTATAAGATCGGGGGAGTCTTCTTTGACTAAGATTGCCTATTGGGCATCGCAAATTAGATCATTGTTAAAATCAAATTCAAAATTGGGAAAACAGTCACCGTTCCCCAGTTCTCCCTGTTCCCCCCATTCCCAGCCCCTTTCCCTCCCCTGCTTGCCCCAAGTCTGGAATTTTGAGAGGAGCAGCTCACTCCAGCAAGGCGCAGGGTGTCCACCATTCCCCTGGCTCCTCTCAAAGCTCCCAATCCCCTTGCCTTAGGAGTCCTGGCCAGACTCTTGGGGATCCCTTTCCTTCTCCCTCTATCCTGGTTTGCAAATCCCCTGTTAGAAAACCCTCCGTTAGGTTTTGTCTCCCTCCACAAGATGGCTCCCATGGAGCTCAAGGTGGAGGGAGCCACATGGCTTCTCCTGCCCTTTTTCCTTCTTCTCCCCACAATCCTTTCAGGTCCCAGAGAAACCCCTTCCTGTCCCCTGACTCCTCCCAACTTCCCTCTGCCCCCCTCCCTCGTCACTCCCTCCCATTTCTCCTCCCTCTTATGAAGCACCACCCTCTGACTCCCCCCTTGGGGCGGGGACCATAACATCTGGTATCCCTGCCCAGTCCTCCGCCCAGTCCTCCGGCCACTCCCCTCTCAGTTCTGGTTCCCACGCCCCTCCTTCTGGTTCCCACTGTCCCAGTTCCGGTTCCCACGCTTCAGGGCCCGGAAGGAGGGGGGTGGAGACCCAGAACCCGGAGCCAGTTTCCATCCCTACCGCGGCTCCGGTCACATACCACCCTGAGAGGGAGGGAAGACCCCAGGCCCAGTGGACCCCTTTCCCCCACCACCTTATTAAAGAACTATGCAAGGCCCAGAAGGACTTCTCCCGGGAGAGTGATTACTTCTGGGGGATCCTGAGGGCCACGTTGACGGAGTCGGAGGTTACCCCCTCCGATCTGCGGCGCCTTTTTTCATGCCTCCTTAACCCCACCAAATTTGTTATGTGGGAGGAGGCATGGAGAAAGGAGGTGGTGGGGCTCCTACCCTCCCTCTGGGACAATCCCCACCTGGGGGTTGACCTAGACGGAGAGATTGTTTCCATAGACCATTTGTGTGGGATGGGCAACTAGGCCGACGGACATTCTCAGGCCAGGTTCCTTCTCCCGGAGGTACTGAGAGAGAGTGCGAAGGCTGCTGAGAAGGCGTTTTTGGGGTTGAGGTCAGCTGCACCCCTTGTCACTTATTCTAAGATTTTTCAGCACGCCGATGAATCGTTTGTGTCCTTTGTCAAGCGCCTTTGCAAGGCCATTGATCTGCAGGTGCAGAGTGAGGGGGCCAGAGTGGAACTTCTTAAGGAGGTAGCTTTTCCTAACGCTAACGCTGCCTGCAAAGCGGCCATTTTTAGTTTGCCTCTGGACCCTCCTCCAACTCTGCAGCGCATGTTAGAGGTGTGTGTGCACAAGGTCTCGCTAACACCTGGAGACAACGACTCCAAGAACTGACCACCACCTCGACGGGTTGCTGCTGCAGAGACTGCTGACACCATCATGGACGTTGCACCTGTGAATCCAGCCCTGCCTCCGGTTGACCAACCCCCACGCTCCAACACCACTGGACCGGCCTAACGGAGAACTTCCCCGTGCCACCTCTGCGGGAAGCTGGGGCACTGGATGCCTGACTGCCCACTGAGATCTCAGTTTTTAGAATTTAAAAAGGGGCAACGGCTCCGGGGGGATTCACAGACAAAAAACTAGGTTCCAAGCGCAGACCCCCCCCCTGCGTGATGATAAAAATAAGGCGGGCCCCATAACATCTTACAGGGAGGGGGAAGAGGAAGAACACCAACCAGCAGGCCTGCCTGTGTCCACAACCGGATTTGACTCTAGTACACCTAACTTGACATGCCTAGATTGTGTCCGACCTCAACCTATCCTTACCACTCTTTCTAAAACTCCACCTTTCAGGTTGCAGCTGACTGAGCCGCTCCATCTTCGGAACTCAAATTTCCATCTGGTGACCGTGTGCCGGGAGCGCCCAGGTAACTGGGAACAAATCGGACGTTGTAAGTATGTTGTCGTCGGTGACACAAAATTTACACCTCCTGAGATAAATATCGTCCCAGGTCTCTTAACATCTGACCTGGGGCAGTTCTCCATGGGGCTGTACTGTGTCCGCCCTCCCCTCTTTCTCCCCAAAGGCCAGGTGGTGGCGCAGGCCATCCCGGTGCCCGAATTAGGCTTGAGCTCAGAGCTACCTTCCACATCACATACAGATTTCTATCCCACGGTGGCCTGGGCTCAGGTGCTGGGGAGGGACAAACCCAGAATTACCTGTCAACTTTCAAGGGGGGGAGACCAAAAATTGCTTAAAGGTCTGTTGGACACAGGGGCAGATGTGACCGTCGTTCCCTCTCGGGAATGGCTGTCACAGTGGGAATTGCAGGACATGGCTGGTCACGTGCGAGGTGTCGGGGGCTTACAATTGGCTAAGCAATTGAAGAGCGTTGTGAAAATTAAGGGGCCGGATGGGCAATTGGTGTCTGTACGCCCATTCGTGTTGGATTATACGGAACCCCTGTGGGGGAGAGACCTCCTTGCCCAGTGGGGAGCCAGAATTGACCTTCCAGTGGCTCCCCAGGTTTTTCAGGCAGCGGTCACTGAGGAGCGCTCTTACCCAGAAACTGAATTGGAAATCAGATGAACCAGTATGGGTAGAACAGTGGCCGCTCAACAAACAAAAATTGAAGGTGCTCAATGAGCTCGTCCAGGAGCAGTTACTTAAAGGAAACCTGGTGGAGTCCATGTCACCTTGGAACTCCCCAGTGTTTGTCATCACAAAACCTAATAAGGATAAGTGGAGGCTCCTTCATGACCTCCGCAAAATCAACATTATCAAAGATATGGGTCCTCTCCAACCAGGGATGCCGTCCCCAACAATGCTCCCACAAAATTGGAATTTGGCCGTTGTAGATATAAAGGATTGCTTTTTTCAAATTCCCCTACACCCTGACGACACCCCACAGTTTTGCCTTCTCGGTTCCCTCCATCAACCGTGGAGCCCCAAGGAAACACTACCATTGGCATGTTCTTCCACAGGGAATGAAGAACAGCCCTGTTATCTGCCAGTGGTATGTGGCTTCCTTGCTGTCCCCAGTTCGTACAGCCGTGGAAGACACAACTATATACCATTATATGGACGATATTCTCATTTGTGCTCCGACAGACGACATGCTTACCCACACACTTGACCTGACAATCGATGCATTGGTTGTTGCAGGGTTCGAGCTCCAACAAGACAAGATTCAGCAGATGCCACCCTGGAAGTACCTGGGCTTGGAGATTACCAGGCGAACCATTGTTCCGCAAAAATTGGCTTTGAAAACTAATGTTAAGACCTTGGCAGATGTCCTACCAGCTGTGTGGGTCTTTGAATTGGGTAAGGCCTTGGCTAGGAATTCCAACCAACGACCTAGCCCCTCTTTTCAATTTATTGAAAGGGGGAGAGGAGCTCAGTTTTCCTAGGTCGCTTACCCCAGAGGCACAGACAGCACTGGAGAAAATCCAAGAGTCCATATCAGCCAGGCAGGCTCACAGATATCAACCGGGCCTGCCGTTTAAGTTCATCGTTTTGGGAAAACTGCCACACCTCCACAGTATGATCTTTCAATGGGACAAGTCACCAAAGGGCAAGGACCAAGGCTCGAGAGACCCTCTCTTGATTATAGAGTGGGTTTTTCTCAGTGACCATTGATTGGTCCAAGAGAATGACACAGCCACAGGAGCTGGTGGCAGAACTGATCCGCAAGGCAAGATCGCGGATCAGGGAGCTTGCAGGCTGTGATTTTGACTGCATTCACATTCCTATTCAATTACGATCAGGCCAATTCAAAAAGAAAACCTTTGATGAACTGCTTGAGGAAAAGGAAATGTTACAATTTGCACTGGACAGCTACACCGGCCAAATTGCTGTTGATCGGCCGGCCCACAAATTATTTAATCAGGACGTCCAATTCTCATTATCATTAAAAAGGGTTCAGAGCCGAACCCCTTTGAAGGCACTGACTGTTTTCACTGACGCGTCTGGAACATCCCACAAGTCTGTGATGACTTGGAAGGATCTTCAAACTCAGTGGTGGGAGGCTGATGTTGCTAAGGTGGAGGGTTCTCCACAGGTAGCTGAGTTGGACGCAGTCATCAGAGCTTTCAAGAGGTTCTCCGAACCATTCAATTTGGTTACAGATTCGTCATATGTTGCAGGTGTAGTGTCCAGGGCGGAAAATGCAGTTCTTCAAGAGGTGTCCAACATCCCCTTGTTTAACTTGCTCTCAAAATTGGTTACATTAGTCTCCCACTGAGAGCAACCCTTCTTTGTGATGCACGTCAGATCACACACCGACCTGCCGGGGTTCATTGCAGAGGGCAATCGGAGAGCTGATGCCCTTGCTGCTGCAGCCCAGATGGCCCCACTCCCAGATGTGTTCAGCCAAACAAAGATTAGCCACCAGCTGTTCCATCAGAACGCCCCTGGCCTTGTTCGTCAATTTCAACTTACTCGAGAACAGGCCAAGGCGATTGTGGCTACATGTCCACAATGTCAAGCTCACCAGCTTCCGTTCCTCAGCTCTGGCACCAACCCCAGAGGGTTGTCAAGTTGTGAGGTGTGGCAGATGGATGTGACTCACGTTCCGTCCTTTGGCTGGTTGAGTTTTGTTCATGTCTCTGTGGATACTTTCTTTGGTGCAGTCTATGCTTCTGCCCACACAGGGGAAAAGGCAGCTGATGTCGAAAAACACCTGGTTCAGGCTTTCGCTGTCCTGGGCATCCCCAAGGTCATCAAAACTGACAATGGCCCAGCGTATAAATCCAGGGAGCTCAGGAGCTTCCTGCAGCAATGGGGAATAGAGCACAAGATCGGCATCCCCTATTCCCCGACAGGCCAAGCCGTGGTTGAGAGGACCCACCAGAGCCTGAAGAGAGTATTAGAACAGCAGCATACGGCAGTGAAGGTGGAGTCCCCTCACGTCCGGTTGTCCAAAGCACTCTACAATCAATTTTTTAAATTGTTCATTCGACAACCTGAACCCTCCCATCACACAGCACTTTGGTCACCACGAGCAGCTGTGCCTGAAAGCCAGGCATCTGGTTCTGGTTAAGGATCCAGAGACCTGGAAGACAGAGGGGCCATTTGACCTGGTTACCTGAGGGAGGGGATACGCTTGCGTGTCTACTCCCTCGGGTCTGAAATGGGTACCAAGTGGGTCAGGCCCTTCCTTCCCAAGCGAGCAGAAAAGGTCGGAGTTGGGGCACAGGTTGAGGAGGCCTGTTGGAGGAGGAGGCGCAAACCTTTTATGTTAGACCTTGACCTCCCTTAAGGGCAGAACTGAAGTTTAAGTTTGTTTACTTAACTTTATCTTTTTATTGTTTTAGTGACCCCAACCGAATGGCTCCTTCCGCAACCAGGGTCATCCTGCTGTCAGCAACCCTCTGGTCCCTCACTCCACCTTTGGACCATTGGATCGTCCCTCAGCCCAAGGCCAATGTCTGGCAGACACTCTCACGAGTCCTCGGCCAGGAACATATATGCCTCAACACCGTGTCAGCAGAGGACCCAACGTCATCGTGCCTTGTGGGGGATCCCTCTCCCTCCCAATGAGCTACCTTCCCCCTTTAATACCTCTCTTTCTGCCCTCATGCCCAAAAAGATTGACTCTCCCATTGATCCTAAAGGTGCCTGGAGGGACGGGATCAAAGGGCTGGCCCCTTTAGATTCCGAACCCCTCAAATTTGATTTGCTCGGCTCCACCAATGCCTCCTTTTGCTTCCAATTTGTGTTCTCCCCAGTCCCTGGAGACAAGCGGTTCGAATCAGTGCGGCAATTTAAAAGAGAATACACTGCCAGCCAATGGTGCTCGATAGTCGCACAAATATATACTCCATCCACCTTTGGTGGCAAGCCGCTGTCTCTACCCCGGGCTATTTTCTTAATTTGCGGAGACCGAGTGTGGGCAGGCATCCCCTCTCACCTTATTGGAGGCCCTTGTACTTTGGGACGGCTGATGCTGTTTACGCCCAACATAACCCAAATTAATAATTGGAAAGCAAAAAATGTCACACTGAATTCGGCCCGCTCTAAAAGAGATCTTAAAGATCTCGACCCAGAGTGTGACTCCGAAATTATTCATTGGTCCAAGCCAAAAGGGATTGCAATCACCATGTTTTTGCCCTGGGTATCCACAGCCAAAGCTCTAGGCGAATTGGCCCACCTAGAGTGTTGGGTGGCTAAACAAGCCAACTTTACATCAGCCGTGTTATCAGACCTCTTATCAGACGAGGCGATAACAAGGAAGGCGACACTCCAAAACAGAGCAGGCATTGATTTTCTTCTTCTGCTCCACAATCATCAATGCGAGGAGTTCAAGGGCCTCTGCTGCCTCAATCTATCATCAAAGGCCGAGGACGCAAGAAGTTCCATCAATAAGATGCGAGAGCTAATCCACGACATCAAAAAGGAGACGTCAGACTGGCTGGGGGACATTTTCAGTGGATGGGGCCTTTCTGGCTGGGTAGGGTCGATTCTAAAGAATGTGCTTTTGGTTCTTTTGATTTTAGTTGTCGTATTGATTGCCTTTTTGATTATTTGGTGTCTGATTAAGAGACTGCTAATCAAGTTGACACACACACCGAGCATCAACCAGGTGGTGAGCTCAGATGATGGACAGTCAGATGATGTGCCTGCCGCAGAGGAAGATCAATGGACCTCAGCCCCTGTGAGCCACCCCTGGTTCGGTGAACTTTATCCAGACTCAGAATATGACAATCAAATTCAGTTCACTTTGGTTTAGGCTTTCCATTGTTCTTCTTTTTATTTTTAAACAAAAAAGGGGGAGATGTTGTGTTGTGTTGGTATGTTCTGTTCCCCCATGTTTTGTAATGGTTCTGCCCTGGTTCTCCCTCCCCTCCCTGTACTTGTCAGTTACTCTGGTTCCTCCCTGGTCTCCCTGGAGATCGATGTATCTTTTTCTAAACCCCTCCCTGGTGCCCTGCCATTCACTCTCTGCCACCAGCTTTTTCTCTGGAAACTTCTGTCTAGGGCACGGAGTGATTGGTTCAGGGGCTGGGGCCCCTCCTCCAAGTTGTTGTTATTGGTGTTTTCCTTATGTCAATTTTCTGTACCCCACTCCCCCCTGCACTCCTATTCACCCGAAAACGGGCTCCTCCCCTGTATCCCTCTCCCTTTATAAGTTGCTTTAGCTCTTCCCTTGCCCTCTTCTGTTGCTGGCTTCCCTGGGAGCTACAATAAACCTGGACTTGCCCCAACCAGAGAGCGCTCTCTTATTTCCTGCCAGTTGTAGCCAGAGGCGGCCTCGTCCTCCTGCAAGGAAGCATCACTGCTAGAACGCAGGGTGCTCTCCTTAGGCGCAGTCCCAGAAACCAAGAGTGGGACAGTGCCCCTCAAGCTGCAAGCGGTGCTGGCCAGCTTGCCGGGACGCTCGAGAAGGCTGTCCCTTCTTCTCTCTCACCGTGCTGCTTCACTAAGCTAGGTACTAAATCTCTCTGTGATTGTAATACTTCATAGGCCACTCAGTTCCCTTGTGTCAAATATATAAGACAGTGCTATGTACTTTAGTTTAACCCCTCAGTGGAGAGGTCCCTTTCAGGTACTACTAACCACTGAATTGACTGTATGAACTGCAGAGCAAAAGTAGACTCATGTTGAGAGAATTAGAAGCCCAGTGAAAGAACCCAAAGAATAGACTGTAACATCCAGACCAAATAAGACACCCAAAGAAACTCGAAGATGTCCAAAAGTAAAGTTGAGCTTACACCAGCTAGATTGAAGATTGTTTTAACTAACACTTCAGGTAGGGAGTTTGAACGGTATAATTTAATAATGCAATTGTCCTATTTTAATAGATAAGAATTACAAGCATCTGTTGAGGGGAAGTACATAGGAAACTGTAAGAGGTATTGGTCTGGTTTCCTTAAGAACCAACAAGTAGAGTAAAACAAGAAATAGAGGGCAAGACTGGGTTTGCCCTTGTGTTCGCCACCGAGAAGATTATAGCCCTGCTGTGGGCAGCAATCCTGTAGGCATGGTAAGGTGGGAACATGAAAGCTATACCAGACCTCTATCATTCCTCAATTGTCTCTTAATACAACAGAGACTGAAAGACAAGACCGAGTTGGCCTCTATACTCACCACTAAGATACACCTACTATGAGTAACAACCCCATAGACACAGTAAATGAGAGTAAAAAAAGCCACACCAGAATTCTGTGATCCCATTTTTCCAAATAGTTGTATCTTAGGAAAACCTAAGATGCTTTTTCCTATTCCCACTGTCCTCACCCACACCAACAGATGCTAATAAAAATTTATTTTTTATTTTTTCTGAGAAGTAAAAGTAAATTAACAGAATCAAAAAAAATGAGGGTTAATTGTTCGAACCATATAACTTATAGAAAACGGGGGTTGTTATACATGAGTAATATAATAGTTGGCTCAATTAACAGATAGATATTATATAGATGTTAAAATGTATAGTGATGTTATTGTAATATGTCCTCCCCATAGTCCTCTTTCCCCTCCCCCTTGTAATAGCCTCAGTAGTCAGGGCATTTAGAGAAGGCCAGCTTATTACCAAGAGGCACAGAGTAACAACATCTGACCTCCAATCAAGATATAAGAAAGTAATCTCCACCAATGGATGGCAGAGAAGGAGTTGACATAAAACTTTGGGAGGGGCTAAAAATATAAAAGGCAGAGCATTCATTTTGTAGATGAGCATGTGGCTGATAGTCACGGGGGCTCCAAGCTCTGTAATTTTTCCTTATTTAGTTTTTTTGTTGTATTTTTTGTTAAACTTTATAAGTGAGCAGCCGTTTCTCACGAGAATATCTTCAGCAGTTACTCACCCAACAGTACAGGGACAGTGAGTAGAGGAGGCAACACCACATTAGGATTTGCCATCAGCATTTTCCAAAACTTTCTGGGTTTAGCAAAATCTTTTTGGCCACAGCCACCTGCTCTTCCCGTACCCAGCTGGATCTTCAGCTGTGCTAGGCTGTGCTAGGCTGTTCAGCCCTTGGGCTCATGAAGAAGACAGTTCTCTTAGAGAAAAGGGACAAAGGGACTGGCTGTGACTATGATTTCCCTTCTCTCTAGAGCAGGCAGCCTCTCTTTGTTTTAACACTTATAAAAGGGAAACACAGAGGCAAATTCTTCTTTTCAAGAGAACAGAGTGTACACAGAGAGCCAGGGGCCACTCTAGCCATCAGAGCTCAGTAGTGACACACACATCTTTTTTTCCTAGGTGGGACAGCAGCCAGATGCACTGAGCTGTGTATCCAGAGCCATGTTTCTGGAGCCACGTCTCTGGGTGTGGTTAGCTCATGTGTGCACCTAGGGACATGTGCAGAGCTAGTGCACAAACAGGCACCTGCTCACCTGCACAGAGCCTGGGTACTTGCTAATAGCACACACTTGTACACACACATGGAGCTGTGCATGCCTAACCTGCGCACACCAGCAGATGTGCATACAGAGCTGTGCACACTAATGTGTGCAGTGTCCTACACATCAACACACACATATCCCACACAGGGCCATGCTCACATCTGCAGAGCCTGTGCGCACTCACAAGCACAGAGCTGTGCACAAACCCACTCACATTTGAGAGTGTGCAATTCAACACACGTGCACACAGCCATGTACACTGACACATGTGTGCACCTCAGCACCTATGTGTGCACACAGATCCATGCACACTGGCACACACGTGCACAGCACTCCCTTAGAGCTCTCCTGGCCCCGACTTCTCCATGGGTCTCTCCCTGTGGGATTATGACACGGCTGAGATGGGGACAGAAGAGGGGAGTATGGGTGGGACATTGTGGCACAATTTTCTTCACCTTTTTGCCTTTTCTCATACTACTTAATCAGTTAATTATGCTCACAATTAGTTAAAACATGCTACTATAAGTACAAACAAGAAAGGCCAGGCCAGTCTTGACATGAGATGGATCACATCTACTGCCTGTTACCCTCTCGGCAATATTTAACTGTTTAGCCTCACAGACCTATGCTCCAGCACTCCTAGTGGGGTCCTGGAACGAGAATAGTAGCACCCTGCTTCTGTTAAATTTGAGTGGAGAACGACTGATCTGTGTTACACTTGATTAAAAAATAAGAGTTCACAGAGAAAGAGAAAAAGGTAGGAGGTGGCAAAAGGAAGGAGGAAAACAAAGCATACCCCAAGTCAGTGTTTTTCTTGAATCCAGGATTTTTTGTTTGGATGGAGTGGGGTGCAGAGTAGCTTTCTTTTGAGATTCAGGACTGAGGCCAGAGCTAGGAGGGTTGTTCAGTGAGAAGTCCGTTCTCCCTGATCTGTACTGGAGTTGTTCTTCAATTGTTATATCTTGGGTTTCTGTGCTCAAAATGGCTCCCAAGGTATTAAAAAGTCTCTTTTTTCCCAGCCTCGTGACCGAAGAAGTCGAGATTCGTCAGTTCTGCTTTTCAAGGTTATTTTATCTATAATATTCTTTCTCTGACCTGCGGAGATCTGTCCAGCAGGTCAGGTTGAGGCACACTGACCGCCCTTGGGGTGGTGTTAGCTTTTTATACTAAGAACTACGTGTACTTTATTTACAATAATTTCCCAATACCTATCACCTACGTTAGACAGTCTGTCTCTACTCTAAACCAATCCAGAAATTTCACCATCACAGCAGAAGATGGAAGACAAGAAGAAGAAGAAGAAGAAGAAGAAGGACAGGGCATGCCCAGATTCCTCCATCTTGCCTCTTGAACTCCCATTCTAAATCCCCAAAATTCTACTTTTTCACCCTGTGACAAATTAACTATCATTCTACTCAAACTCTTGTGGCTTGTAAATCCTCACACAAAGTTGGTAATTTTTTCCATGGGCTGAAATCAAAGGCACAGATGTTTTTGACTCTGTGCCAAGGTCTCTGAGCCCCTTACCAGGGACTCTAGTCATCCAGGGCAGTCAGAGGAATGTCCTGGGTTCCGACAGTTATGTGGATGTTTAAAACTCTACATATCTACTCTTCCTTCAACTCACACTATGGCTAGTATACTTGGTTGGACCCAATCTCCTTCTCAGTCCACTCTATTACACAATACTACATTATTATGGTGGAGGGTTTTTGGGGTCTGTCTGACTCCGGCTGCCGTAGGTGTCTGAATAGCGAAGTCCCACTAAGCACAACCTGTCCAGGTCCCTCAGGTATGCTCCCAGCCACAGGCAATCTTAGCAAGCAGCTCAGCTCTTAAGTGAGATCAGCTCTTTGGTGAATTCAGCTCTTTAGTGATTTCAGCTCTTTGCTTGCTAAGTGCCTTGGCAGACACAGGGAGAGAGAGGAGAAGGTTGTATGAGGTTCCACAGAGGTGTCTTTATTGGCAGCTTCTGTGGAGGGTGACAGTGACAGCTCTTCTGCTGAACAGCGCAGAAGTAGGGGTTTATATAGGGTATAGGGGTTTTGGGAAACAGTCCAATAGTAAGGGTTGAGGCGAAAATGACCTATGGTTTTACAGAGAGATAACGAGGGTCCGAAGGCGGATGAGGGGCTTCTTAGGTCCAGTCATCATGACTAGACATTTCTTATCTTAGGCAACTGACCGCCAGGGAGGCCTTGCAGTCCCTGTGGCTGCTACAACTCCACTTTCTGTATTTAGTAAAAAGGCGTTCCAAATAGATCTTTTAAAACAATGGAAAAGGCATGAAAACATAGCTAATGCAATGACAATTACAATGAAAATCCTCAACATTCCCTTAACCAAAGATGCAACCCATCCTGTTAATCCTCATTGACCGAAAAGGTCATTGACCCAGTCTGGGTTGTTTTTTACTTTTAAGTCCTTCACAAGTTCCCTCAGTTTCTGGATGTTTGCATGAATGGATTCTGAGCATGAAGAGAGACTGAAGCAGCACGTCCCTTCGAAGTCGTGGCAGCTGTGTCCATGGGCAAGCAGTAGGAAGTCGATTGCTGCTCGATTTTGAAGTGATGCATGTCTTGTGGTTTCTTCTTCCTTTAAAAGATCGCTCAGGGCAGCAGATGTAGCATTGGCTTGCTTACTGAGCCAGCACCCTAGGTGATTGATTTCCCCAAGGGCTTTAGCTGCAGCTACCCATGGTAGGAATAGGAAGACAGCAATTTTTTTTGGCTTATTCCAATAGTGTAATTTGGAATCACAATTTTCATCAAATTCCATGTAGGATCTTTTGTGGCATTTTAATTCACTTTCTTTTTCTCCAATTATGTAGCAAGGTGATATTTGGAGTGAGAGTAGAAAGTTT